TGGATTCGTTTTTCAGAACTTTGGAGATGACTTGGCCCTCCCAATTTCGGAAAACAAAAGCATGCACGTTTCCTCCAAGCTTTTGTACATTTTGCTTATGTCAATGAAAAAGCAGGAAAGGACAATATGATACAAATTGGCCAGTCCATTTCCTTCAAGGATATCAATTTTTAGAATTTTCCCTTTTATACTTACATGTTAAAGTGATCTTAATGGATGACAGATTAATGACTTTCTCTTTGTATCAGTTGAGAGGAAATTTGTGGGTTTTTTCCCCTCCGTTAAGTGGATCTGGTTTGTTGTAGCTAAGCAGATGGAAATGGCAGTAAAACTTTTAACTTATCTTTCCAAAAAAACATGTTGTAGCTGTTCTCAATGTTTTCTGAGAGTTCATCAAGGCTTTGAACTGTTCCACACATGGGATTTCCCTCTACAAGCTGTTCTAGACTTCTGATAGGACCAAGCAGGGCTCTTTCTTCTTCTTAGCAAGAGTTTCTTCACTCAGCATTTGAATTTTAGAGACTGATACCAGTAGCACTTTCCTGACTTCTTTGCTTTGAAATGCCATAGCCTGAGGCAATACTAGCCCAAGGGATATTGCTGCCTCGAGCCCAAGGGGTAACCTGACTCCTCCTAGGATTTCACAAAGCCTTCCTTCGCTGTTCAGACACTAAGGCCCCTTCTACACTGCCATATAATCCAGATTTTCAAAGTAGATGATCCACATTATCTGCTTTGGACAGGATTATGAGAGTCTACACTGCCATATCATCTACTTCAAAGCAGATAATCTGGATATTTCACATAAAAAATAACTCCTAGCACTTGACCTAGCTCGCCCTCATCTAAATTCTTGTACGGTTTTTATACTTTGTTTTATTATGTTATTGTTACTATCTTATTGTTTTATAATGTTATTGTACAGGGTGAGGCAGCATAACTTCCTTTTTTCATAACTTAATAAAACCCATTGTATGAATCAGAATTTTTTTTTTATAATGTAGGCGCATACCTAAAGTTTTGTTTTACGTAGTTTTGAAGATCAAATTAGGTAGGTGACGTCAGCCATTCTCTATACACTGAGTAAACCGATTTCTGGYGTTTGTCATGACTCTTGCCAGCAAAGCAGGCATTATGTTGGCAATTTMTTCCTGGATGTTGGTCTTCAAATCTTGAGGGTCCTTGGACGGTTCACATAAACACGGGATTTCAAAAAACCCCATAGAAAAAAATCACAAGGGGCCAAATCTGGAGAGCGGRCCGGCCACTCCAAATCCGCTCGAAAAGTAGGCCTCAATGGCAAAAGCATGCTCCTCACTGTTCCAACGCATGATGGCGACTGAATTGTGTCAGGACAAAACTTTATACTCCCGCCTCTCGAATAAGACCACTAGTGCTCCGCTACGTCTTCAACTGACTGAATGGCGCRCATTTTAMAAAAGGAAGTTATGCTGCCTCACCCTGTATAAGCATTTTTATTGATGCTGTCATGTGTCATGTATGTATTTTATTTTGCTTTATTGTAATTGTTTGRGCTTGGCCCCACATTAGCCTCCCAGAGTCCCCTTGGGGAGATGGAGGCAGGGTACAAATAAAGTTATTATTATTATTATTATTATTATTATTATTATTATTATTATTATTATTATTTTATGATAGTGTAGAAGGGCCCTCAGGCCCATTCTGCACTGTCCTTATACCCCAGGATCTGATCCCAGATTGTCTGTTTATCCCAGGTTATCTGGCAACGGAGACTCTTATAATCCAGTTTAAAGCAGATTTGGGATCATATCCTGGGATATATGGCAATGTGGAAGTGACCTAAGTCTTGCCTTCATCAGTCTTCCAGCACAGAGCCATCTGACATACCATCCATGACAGGTGGGTAGCTGTGGCATCAGGATCTATTATACATTTTTGAAGGAATGCCTTCCTTTGATATGAGCCTGCCTGGGCTCTGAGGTTCTTTCTTGGGACCCTGCTGCATTGTGAAATATGCCTAGTATAGCGATGAGAGACCCGGACCCCCTATCTTGGGCATCTGGGCTGACCCCTCTCTGTTGCGTTTCATAGAACTAGAGTTGGAGGAGACGCAAAGGGTCTTCCAATCCAACCCCATTATGCTGTGCAGGAACACACAACTAAAACACCTGTGACAGATGGCAATCCAACCCATTTCCAAGTCCCCAGAGGAGACTCAATCACACTCTGAGACAGTGTATTCCGTTGCCTTACTATCAGGACATGCTTCCTAATGTTTAAGTGGAATCTCTTTTCCTATAGTTTGAAGCCATTGCTCTGCATCCTAGTCTCTAGAGCCCCCTCCTCAATGTGACAAACCGGTAGACAAGCCTTTTCACTTCAGGCAGGCCTTTGGCAACCACTTGGTGTAGGAAATGGATTTTAACTAAAGGGAGGTTGTATTTTTCTTCTGTTGATATATTTTAACTTCTGCAACACATTTTAATGCTATTTTTATTTATTTGTACTATTTTCCCCAATCCTTTTCATTCTTCAATGAACAAGCATTTCCCTTTATTTTGTTTGTGTGTGTATGCATAGTTTTTAAAATACTAGGTCCATTATTCAAGCTCATTGAAAGCAACTTCGTTTATATGCAAAGAGCTTTGAAGGCCAAAGAATCACTCTGAAAGATCTAGAAAATGCCTAGAGAAGTGTTCTCAGTAGACCTCCAATGTAGTTTTATGGCCAACTTCCACTGGAAGTTGCAGAAGAAACCTAGACCTTATACTTCTCTTGGCATTTTCTAGATCCGCCAGAGCAATTTTATGGTGTGCTTTGGCCAGATGTCCCAGATAACTTTCATTTCAGGTAAAAATAGGTTCCCATATTACGAAATAACACGAGAAATTCCAGAATGAATCCTTTGTGTAATATTTGGGCCTACTGTATTATTATAAGACAGAATTTATGTATCTTGTATATAAATTTTTCAAAGCAGATTTCCAATACTGTCATCAAGTACCTTCATTTCCCCCATGGATGCTGGCTAAAAGGCAATTCTTATTCTATTAATCATCTTATCAAAGCTTGTGGGATGCCATTCCTAAAAAAGGCTAGCCTTCCACATTTTCTGAGCATAAGCGGTCACTGAGGTTCAGTCTCTACGAATATATGTCCCTTCTGTGAAGAGAATTGGCATAATGTTTCCTGTAATTGGCTAGGCACAGAAAAATCTTCTTTATCACAGTATGAAATATTTGTCAACATTTCCCTATTTTTTAAAAAAAAAAACTTGGTAAATTTTATAGACCAGGATTTTAATTTATTTATTTATTTACAGTATTTATATTCCACACTTCTCACCCCTAGGGGTCTCAGGGCAGATTACAATGTACATATAAATGGCAAACATTCAATGCCTTAGACACACAACATATATATATAGACAGACAAACAGAGGCTATTTAACATTCCAGCTTTTTCATGACGGTATTCTGGCCATCAGGGGAGCTGTCGCTTCACCATCTATTTGTGACACTGATGAAGTAATTACTCATTCTTTGCATGCTTACTGGAGATTTTTTATGGCATTGTAAATTTGCCTCCCCACATAAGCGGTACCTAAATTTCCTATTTGACAGATGCAACTGTCTTTCGGGCTGCAAAGGTCGACAGCAAGCTACACAAATTGGTCGGACGCTCACTCTGACCTGGGCTGGCTTCGAACTTATGACCTTTTGGTCAGTAGTGATCTTAATGCAGCTGACTCCCAGGCAGCTGCGCCACAGGATGTGTCTATTACAGTTTCCCTAAGCCAACTGGAAAAGAGCTTCAGAGTAGCATGGAGATTGGCGGAGAAGAATGTTCTGTTGCACTACCAGATGCCCTCTAGTAAAACACAGGATATAAACTATACCATTGGATGGAATAAAGCACTCCACATTGTATTACTAAACAGTAAACCTTAATTTAACTGCTATTGTTGATATTGGCTTGAATCCTATTTGACACAAATGTATAACTACTGTGATTGTTGAGCCACATAGTCACTGCCAGGCAAAGTTCACCAATCCTCACTTACTGGGAAGCGACCATTGTGATTGTTACGGGTCCATTCCCGTATTTCTCAGTAAATAACTGATTGATGCAAGTTGAAACTGGGGGATTTTTATGGACTTATGTGCCCACTAAACTAGGGGCTACATGGGGTTATGAACACCACAGGCATTCAAATCCTTAGCTTCAGGTCCTGTATTCATAACTCCTCTACGGGATTTCAAGCATTTTATTATATTATTATTATTATTATTATTATAACTTTATTTGTACCCCGCTAGCATCTCCCAAGGGATTCAATGCGGCTTACAGCAGGCCGGAGCCCAACACAATACAACAATTTTGTCTTTAGATATTCAGTATTCCAGCATTATTTTTAAAWTTTTAATTATTACATTTGGCCCAGCCATAGGTTTTTAAACGTCGCTGTGYTACTGTTAATGTTTATTGCTTATTTTCTGTTTATGAGTTKTATTTATTGTTTGTATTACWGTGGCTATTGTTTTTATTGTTGTATTGTGGGCTCGGCCTCATGTAAGCCACACCGAGTCCCTTGGGGAGATGGTAGCGGGGTACAAATAAAGTTTTATTATTATTATAATATTGGTGAAGAGTTATTTAGACTTCCATTGTTTTWAAATATGGTATAACCACATTTTATTTTTTATAATGTGCAATTGATATCCAGTGGTTGGACATAATTCACAGTCATAGAATCACAGAGTTGGAAGAGACCTCGTGGGCCATCCAGTCCAACCCCCTCGAGGTCTCTTCCAATTCTATGATTCTGATGACAACTGATTTTAAGTATCACAATAGAATGTTTTATTGAGAAATGAAAGAAGGGGAATAGTTGCATAACATTTAGTCAAGGATGAAATATGTAAAAGTGCAATGGAGGACATTTTCATCAAAGGGATTTGATGTCCTTTGCCAATCTTTTAATGTGTTTATTTTTTTCTTTCTCTCTCTTGCTCCAGGTTCGGCATCGATGGTGTGAGCTTGTGATTAAGCATAAATATGTGGCAGGGTATGTTGATGTTGAGAAATTCCTCAAGGAAGACCAGGTCAGCATTATTTACTAACCTTTTCTACGTACCCACAGGACTGTAGACATCTGTGGAGTCAGATACCTACAATTCCACCAACATAAACCCTGTTCTGTTTCTTAGAGCTTGTGAGGAGAAAGTTATTTCAATGCTTTAAAATTATGATTGCAAGCTGGGTGCTGAAGGTCTATCCAGTTAGTCAAAATGAGATTCCTTTGTCTCTTTCACTACTACATTCTGGATCCTCTCACCTTTTTATCACTTTCCAGACTTTTCTCTTCTCTGAAACAATCCCTCCCATTCTTCTTGTCTTCAAATTATTGTTATTTATTTATTTATTTCAAACATTTGTACCTCGTCCTTCTCAACGTCTGAGGGGGGACTCAGGGCAGCTTACAATGGCAACAATTTGATGCCAACACATACAAAATCACAATACAATGGCATTTTGGCCAGTCTTCATTGACTTCCCTTTTAGTCTTGCAGGTGTTACCTCTATGAAGAGGGAAGGTGCTTTCACATTTTCCTGCTCTCAGATTTAGAACAGGTTTAGAAGTATTCAGCCAGTCATATCAGAATGAGTGAAAGCTTGGGTCAATGATAATGAGTGATTTTTTAAACCGCCCCACCTTTCAGCCGGACAGTTGAAATAATGATATCATTTAGCATATTACAATATAGGTAATTTTGTCTTCATACCATAAATTGGCATATATTATCTAAGGTCTTTTGTGGTTAAAAACATGTTGTAGATCAGTGGTTCCCAAACTTTTTGTCCTCTAGATGTTACCAGAATTCTTGATATTGGCTAAATTGGCTGGACCATCTTGGAATTGAAGTCCCAAATCTCTGGCAAACCAGTGGTTGAGATCCACAATTATCAAACATCTGGATGTGATTTTGAGTTCAAAAAGCACAGCATTGCCCATCTGTCCACTTCGTTTTTGAAAAGGCTCATAGTATATACTTCCAACCTTGTATGAAAGAAAGGAGAAGAGTAAAGTAGACTGGGGCCATATTATTTTTGATACATTTCCATGTTTTTCCCCCATGTGTAAATTACCATCAGGAGACCACAACATTATTTCCTTGAAGAGGGAAATACATTTTCATAGAATGAAGCTCTGAACCCATTTGTATGTCCCTTTTCCTGATACTACTTTACCCACAGAAAAAAACACAAAAATGTTTCCATTGAGGTCCTCAGCATTCCTCGGCTTACAGTTGTTCACCCAAGTAGACTTCTTGCATGATGGTCATAGAAAGCAGCTTGCTGCAAATATGTTTATAGCAACGGAAATTGGATGCCACATATTAAAAATCAAATTGAACACCAGTCTATTTTGAATAGGAATTAGAACAACCACAGATTTATATTTTGATGCCTCTTTGAAAAGAATTCCTGTAACAAAATGTCATATAATACTTGTAGTCAAAGTAGCTCATTGTATTTTCCTGTTTTGAAAGACCACTTGGTTGTTCAGAAGTCTGTAGAATATGCAAATGTGACCGTTTACCATTCAGAATAACAGAACTAACAGTGTTTTCTAAATCTGGATGTTTGAGTTATGGAGAAATGATTACGAAATAGTCAAATCAGAGCGAGAATTCTCAATGGTGACTTTATTTTTCATTTGGGCAAGAGATGGAAGATTTCCAGAAACCTATCACAGAAGTTACTAACCATTACTTTGGCTACAGGATTTGCACCCTGCTTGCTAGACTCATAGCATTTTTAAGAGACCTTCCTCCATCTCATGAATATGGGGGTTCAGTTTTCACAAAACATGATTTCGCACAATACGTTCCAACAAGAAATGTGTCAACGAAATGTTATATTAATTTAATCCTCCTTCCTTACGTTTTCTTTTGCTGAAAGACAGATTTTATTGTTTCTGTTAAATTTCACAGAAACCCAGTTTTACAAACCGAGTTTCTTTGCAGCAAATTAAATCCAATGGGTTGTTCCAACTAGTATTGTTGTTCATTCGTTCAGTCGTTTCCGACTCTTTGTGACTTCATGGACCAGCCCACGCCAGAGCTCCCTGTCTAACTAGTATATGATCATTAAATAAATGTGAGTTCTTGTGTGGGTCTGCTTTAATTGGAATTAATAATTTGATTTATCCTGTAGTTTTAAGTTGGAAACAAACCAGAGGTTTTTGTAAACCGCCAGCTCTAACTGATACATATTAAGCTGGAAAATTTATTAAACTAAAAGTTAGAAGGGATATTTGAAATTTTTCTCGAGCTCTTTCTTGTTTGCGCATGTTAACTACTAAATCATATTCTAACTTAACAATAACCAGACAAAACTCTCATTCCACTATTCATTTATTTTTAAGCCACCCCCTTGAGACAAGCACCCACACATCATATAAAGATAAAATACAAAAAGACAGCTTGCCAATTTACCAGAAAGCAGTTGGAGTCCGTAACAAAAAAAATAGAATAACAATTAAAAATGCCCCCATAATCTCCTGGTTTTACTAGTTCTATTCGAAGAATAAGAACGTCAGTCCAGCCATCTGGATCAGTGGTTAGCTAGGTCCCTCCCTCCCTATGGAACAAGTCAAGTGGGAATCCTGAAGCTAACAACCTCTCCTCTCATTTGACCACTGTATGCTATATTTGAACATGGGAGATAATTTATTCTATTATGCAGAGCCTGTCAACTGCACTGTTTTCTGGAGAGTTGTACCTAAATAAAATAAAATTTAAAAATACAGTCTCATAAAAATACAATTTAAAATACAGTGAGTCATTTTTAGCCTTTCGCTAGCAGGCAAGCTTCACATTTTTTTTTAAAATGTCATGAACAGTGGCTGAATAAATTCATTAAAATCACTGATTTTTAAAATATTTGTGCCAATAACTCTGTAAGGAAAGCAATAGGGTGAGTTGTGGGAATGCCTCAACTCAAATAATTCACATCACTCTGTGAAGATGGGGTAGAGACTTTAATGAACTCAGGATTCAAATAGAAAAAAGCTAGTGGTGGTATCTAATAACCATTATGAATATTTGCCTTTATTTTTCTTCATATACGTAATGGATACTATAGTCTCTTTGTCACAGGTTGTGGCAATTAATTCCATTCAGATAGTTGACTAGAACTCCATAGATTCTAAATGGCCACAACATTAACTTCGTAATTTCTGTCCTGCTATATTTAGCTATGACTTGGTTGCACATTTCTGGCAGAAGTTGTGCACTTTATGTGATTAAAAAACAAAATCACATGCAGTCATTATTATCATGAAAACATTCATATTGAAACTGATTATGTTATAGGATTTCTGCTTTTCCCCCTCTTTGCAGGCAATGGGTGTCTACCTGTATGGAGAATTAATGGTGAATGAGGATGCAAAACAACAAGAAATTGCACATAAAAGTTTTGCTACAACCCGTGACCAAATGGATGTGTCCTCCGCTAAAGTAGTTGCAGATATGTTGTTTTGATGAGGTGATTTCTATTTTCAAATAGTTAAATGTATAAGTCATTTTAAAAACATAAGTAAACAACTACATACACCAAAGCCTATGTGATCCTGAAGGACAACTAGAGTCAGGCTTGATTACTACTTGGAGGGGAGAGCAGCAGAGAATACTAGGTTCTGCAGGCTATATGCCTTTGTAGACAGAAAGGAGGAGGAGACAATGGGGAACCTGCATGTTGACCATATATTTTTATGGTGTCATGCAACACCCTCAGTAGAATGTCCCCTAAGTGTAGTATAAATATCAACATAAGATAAGATCTATGTTATGCTGAACCATATACCCCTTGACTTATTATAAGGCTCTTCAAGCCACTACTCCATGGCTTTCGTGGAAAGCAGGTAAGATCAGAGAAGCTAGTTCCACTGGCAAATCTAAGTGCTCATGTGATCTTTTTGTGCCCAGCTATGAGGATATAGTTGAGTGCAACTCCAAGGGAGGAAGAGAGTACCATTCCCCACAGCGCCCAAAAAAGGTCACCCACACATGTAAAGGCCACTTACATGGGCATATGTCCCTAACAGAGTTCCAACCATTGTATGGCTATGGCATCTGAGTATTAAATTAAATTTGTCAGACTGCTATGTACTCGGGTCAAAACAAAACAAAAACTGTAGAGAAGTTAGACTCGTAAAAAATAGTAGCCAGCCTGGTGTACTAGTGTAGTCTTGGTCTAGGACCAAGACATGAATCCCAATACAGCCCTGGAAACCCAGTGGGTGATCTTGGACAAGCTGTGCTCACTCAGCCTAAGAGGAAAGCAATGGCAAACCTCTTTTGAAGAAATCTCTCCAAGAAACCCTATGACAAAGTTGGAGTTGACTTAAAGGCACAATAACAGTACTTGGGATAGTGTCCAAAATATAGGTTATATTATACAGCCCACAGTTCACAAAGTTTTTGATGGTGCCTCAGGGGAGATGGGGAAAGCTGTCTTGTTTCTGAAGTGTATGTTTTGTATACATCTGTTATAAACAGAATCTGTATATTTCTGATTATGTGTTTTGATTAACTGATTAAACGTGAACTGTACCAATTGGGGAGCAACATAGGACTTATTTGAACATGATGTTGCCTATAATGCCAATTATTTGTCATTCCTTTGAAATATACTGGGTCAGATTTTTGGAACAGTGAACAGTCAGAAATCATTAGTTCTCTCAGTTTTCACCTTGCTATCTAGAGTTGGCAGGAACAGCTAAATAGATTGGATGTCAGCAATCTGTAGGAATGTACATGTCTAAATACCCAAATAACAATTTTAACACCACTATAAGCAGTATATTTAACTGTTATATGTGTCCCATTTCAGATGTCAGTTTGTGGTACTTGTCCAAAGTAATTAAAGATTAGTATTAAGATCCTTCTAAGGGCAAGATATCTTAACATTTTGTTGTCTGTTGGCAACCATCACAAGACATGGCTCTTTGGGATTTTTTATCTAGCCTTCTAAGTGAAATGCTATACAAAGTGCCGTCAGAAATTATACTTAGAAAGGGATGCACATAAACTATTTCATGGTATGATTATAGCCAAATCAGCCACATATGTGAAAAATCAGTTTTAAGTTCAGTTTGCAGTTACTACAAAAATCATGTTCATTTCATTTTCACTTGCGTTGATAGTGGTGAAATGTGCAGAACACTAGGCTTCTCTCCCAAACAGCTGTTGGCATGACCTTATAATACAATCCAGAGTGTTTTCCATCCCTCTGGTTTAGTGAGGAGCACAGGGCTGGAATAATCAAGATTTTCCTCCCCCAATTTGTGTAATCCACTGTTCTCCCAGAAGTCTTCTGTAGCTGCCAACCCAATCGCCCCACAAATTCTCAATTCTATTCACATTTTCATTTATGTGGAATGGTTATGAAGTTGTCTGGGCAGAATTCTTTCTTTCAGAGGGCAAGGGCGCATTAGATAAATACTGCAAGGCTTAGTTTGTAAATATGCCATTTGTGTGTCAACATAATCAGTGCCAAATCTACACTGTAGAATAAAAGGGGCCAGTCTGCTTTTGTATGACCACTTTCCTCAAGCATCTCCCTACTTTTGCCCCCAATAATTTGGCAGTCTTCATCAACTTCAAATGGTAAAGGTATTGATTAAATTAATAAAATGTAACTTTTCCAGATACTCATTTTTGTTGTTTTCTAGAATTGTTATTTATAACTCATTTTGAGTGGTCAAAATGGCAGTTCAAATAACATTGTGATATTTTAGTGAAATGTATTAAATGATTGATTTAGTCATATTTATGTTATCTTGATGGACTTGAGAGAATAGCCACACACGTGTCCTTCTGGTTTTGGTTGTTTGGGTTCCTGGCATGCTGATTTGTGACTTAAGATGAAAATCACATTGCCAGGGATTACCACATAACCATGACACTGGCCTCGGTAACAGCCTCTATAATCTCAATTTCACATTTATTGCTGGAACCTCGTGGATCAGCTAGCCTTACAATGTCCAAACAAGTCACTGAAGGACTTCAGCTGCTATTTAAACGTATGTTCGGAGGAAGACCTCTCTGATGAGGTGCAGAGCTTAGCTGATTGGTGAACAGTGATTGATTTCCTCTTTGTTCACAGTGGCTAAGTTCTGCACCTAAAGAGAAGTTGAGATGGAAAACTTGGTAAAATTCTCAGTTTGGTTGCTACTGCCGAGGTAGTTCCATAGTGTCGAATTTGCAGATGAAGAATTTCTGCAAGATGTACTTCCTCCCGTCAAGAAGGAAACTGATCTACATGGGAAAGCATTCTCGTCTTTCTACAGTATAGAAACAATCCATAATGGTCTAAAGGTTTACGTTTGCTTTTCTAGTCACTTTGAGGCTACTGTGAAGTTAACTGTATTTTATATAAGACTTCTCACTCCTCTGTGACCTGAGGTGCGGCTTACCAGTGCATGTTTCTCATGTTTTTTCCCTCCTTGCTGGGGCTGCCCCTTGCAGCTGCTGCTGTTCCAGGCTGTGGATGGACCCGTCCTCCGGTGCCTACTGAGCTGATATCAGTTCTGATTTTACACACTGGCTCAGTTCAGCAGGAACAGGAGTCGAGCCCTAAAGCTTATAAAAAAATAAAGCTACCTTCCTAAGTACAGAAACGTCTGTGAAAGCTTAACTCTGACTTCGTGCCTGAAACCACAGATAGAACAAACTGATATTTGGATGTGGATCACAAAGTCTTACACGGACTACATGCCAGTCTTGCAGAAGGAGACAGTAGCTTTGTTGGTGGGGGGGGGGGTGTGTGAAGAGGGATATCCTGATTGTGTTTTAAAAAGATAATGCAGATAGATGTATCCTGTGTGCTTCGTTCTGCCTTTCAACTATCTTATCGCTGTTTTCAGAAATAGACAGCATTGTGATTTTTTTCCCCCGAGTCAATGCTCGTTCCGATTAAGTATATTTTAAAGGCCCTTGTTCTGGTGGCCACAAAATTATTATATCTCTTCGTACTAATCTGATGTGACTTTTTTAAAAATATCTTGGAATGCTCTTGCCTCCTGTCTTCTCACATCACATTCAGCCTCATAATGGAGCATGTGACATTCACATGGATGTCAACTTTTGGTTGTTGTGATTCTCTCACACTGCATGCATTTAAGGGAAATTAGATTCATGGATATACCCTCTTTCGTTTTCTAAAATGTACAGATTCTTTCGTTGTAACAAAGTAATATATTCTACGACTGTTTCCCTTGCAGGAAAGATCAGAGACTTTTAATATATCTACTACAAAATGCTGGTTGTACTAGGATTTCCTTGAACCCGGACATCAAAGGAAGGATTATGTGACTGCTAAAACAATCAGCTGACAATTTTACCCTAGCTAATTGATTGTGAAGTAAGACAGTTCTGGATGACAGGTGCCTATCCAGGCCCAAAAGAGACATTAGGAAAAGTTAAAATATTCATTTGAGTAGGTATTTTATATCTTTTTAAAATATAAGCAACCAATGACAATTTTGTTTTTAAATTAATTTAAGCCAGTTTGGAGAATACTTGTTTATTAATCTAATTCCTGAACATTTGAAGCACATTTGTTGTTGAACCTAATAGGGAAAAAAGAGACCTTGTCTTGAAATGAACCCTTGAGAGTATTCTTTTCCCACAGAAGTGCACTGATATCCATCTTTCCCCAGGGATCTGTTTCATACGTAACTCAAAATTTAGTATAAGCACATCAGATGTGGATAATTCTTGTGTAATATACTGCAGAAGTGATGTATGTCTGAACGAAATGAATTCTGTTATCGATCCATTTATAGAAGGCATTACTTTGTAATTATTTGCAATAAATTTTATAGACACTTTTCAACATGGTTTTTTATTATATATTAGAGATTTAGGACTATTTCATTGCTGCTTCTCGAGCTACCACTGCATTTACTAATGAGCATAAAAAGAAAACGAGGATATTCAGAACTCTTCTGGCAGCATGAAGCCTGCTGCCCTGAGTCGAGGGGTGACCCACCCTTGCGCATGTGTGCCCAGGCAGGCATTTCCTCTCCCTTTGTGCCTCCCACATCTCTAATTAGCAGAATTAAGCTCAGTTAGTGGTCCTGGATTCAGCTTTCCAACTTTGAGGCAAAATCTGCCGTCTGTATAGCACCATACTGAGCTACTGCAGTAGCTGTTAATATAGACCTTTTGATGTATTCAAGAAAGTATCCAAGCTTTTCATGAGGAAAGTTATGCTCTGTTTCACAAGTTTTTGCAGAGAATAATGGGTAAAAAGCAAGTTAGGCTTTTACTCTTCCATTCTCACACAATTGAGTAAAGAGCTTGTGAAAGTTAAATTGCTAATTGCTCTTGGCTACATGAAAGAGGTGTGCTTCTGTGTCATTTTCCTTGAAATATATAGCTGTTTTTGTTTTGTTTTGTTAAATGACAAAAGTCAAGTATTCAAGTACCTCTTCAGGGGAAGTTGGTGTGTTCACCAACTTCCCCTGGTGAACACACACTTTACCGGAATACAGGCAGTCCTATACTTTTCAGCAGACTTATGAACGACTCAGAGTGAAGAACGGGGGTCAGACAACAGGAAGTGAGAGAAATCTATGCCTAGGAAGAGAAATTCACTCCTGGAAGAGTTATCATGGGGAAAAGGTGTCTTCACTGAAGCTTTATAACCAATCTTTGTTTCCACAAAAAGGGATAGAAAGTAAGGGGAAATCTTCTGAATATTGGCAAAGACAGCAAAACAAATACCACAGGGGTGTTAACCCTTCCCTTTGCTATCCAAAGCTAAAATAGATATTTTTTTAGCTGGAGTTATACTGTATAAATGTACCTGTTCTGACTTACAAACAAATTCAATTTAAGAACAAATCTACAGAACCTATCTTGTTTGTAACTTGTGGACTGCTTGTAGTAGAAGATTAATATTGCTGTTTCTTCATCTCTTTGGATACTCCCATTTAAAAGAGTTCTGACCAATAAGGCTGGGAATATCTCTAAAAACAATGAAATCTTATTTTGGAAAATATGACAAATTTCTATTGAGGACTTACGAAGTCAACTTAACATTTGTAGGAATAAGAAGTGGGCAGTTCTGTAATGTCTGTATCCTGTATGGGGCTGCTGTTATGTTACTACATAGGGTCACCAGCAAAGTGACCAGTGTGGATCAGTAGAGCCCAATGTTCATTGGAAAATTCCAACATCATGATGCATATTTACAACTCATTAAAATTGCTAAGCATATGTAAAATTGCACAAAGTAGATCATGGTAGAGAACCTTGAAACCAATTCTAAACATTCCATGTTCAAAAATATCACATTCTCTTTTCATAAAGCAAGTGCACATTGGATGGGGTCCGGATTTACGTGCAAACCACTAGGTCAGCAGAAGTGGACTTCACTGCCCTTCCCCTCGAAAAAGTGCTAGAGTCACTTCCCTAAATACTATGAGCTGTGAAGGAAAGAGAGGTCACCAAAAATGAAGAACAATTGCGTTTCAGAGATAAATCATTTTGTTAGCAGAATAACACTGGTAGATTGAACTATATGTTTCTTTGTGCCAATGAATATCAATCTATAAAAGCTACTATAAGATACTTATTGGTTTTTAAAGTATTTCATAAGCAGACCTCTAGAAGAGGAAGGACAAGTGTGGTTCTTCCATTATTGCAGGAGTTTCAGACTCATAAGAGAGTTAAGTAGTTTTAGTGTTGTATTAGGACACATCTATACTGTAGAATTAATGCAGTTTCACACAACTTTAACTGACATGGCTTAGTGTTCTGGAATCCCGGAGTGTGCAGTTCAGAAAGGCACCAGCATTCTTTGGTAGAGAAGGTTAAAAACCTTGTAAAACTAATTCCCATCAACCCACAGCATTGAGCCATGGCAGTTACAATGGTGTAAAATTGCATTAATTCTACAGTACAGATCAGATCTGCACAACATATAGCATGCGGCCTGCACAAGTCATTGGTGCAGTCCTCCAAGAGTCACTCACCCTCATTTTCACTGAAGGTTTTCTCCTGCAGTAGAAAGGAAGAAAAAAAGGAAGGAGGGAGGAAGAAAAGGGAGGAATGAAAAACAGAGAGGGAGAAAAGGGAGAAATAAAAAAAGAAGATGGGATGGAAGGAGAAAAGGAAGGGAGGAATGAAAAAGGGAGGGAAGGAGGAAGAAAGAAAGGGAGGAATGAAAAAGGGAGGGAAGTAAGGAAGAAAGAAATAAAGAAAGGGAAAATAATGAAAAAGGAAGGGAAAGGGGAGAAAGAAAAGTAGGAAAAGGGAGGGTAGGAAGAAGGGAGAAAAGCTAAAAAGGGAGAAAAGCTAAAAAGAAAGAAAGGTGAGTGGGAAAGAGAGAAGGAATTCAGAAAGTGTGTAGTGGATTGAACCTCAGACTATAGCTTTACACCTACTGGGTGACTTTAGGCAAGTCACACTCTCTCCGTCTCAGAGAAAGACAAAGGTGAATCCCCTCTTAATAAATCTTGAGAAGATTTGAAATGACTTAAAGGCACATAACAATAATCCTAAATGCTAAAACCTATTTGTGGCCTCAAGAGGCTTAGTCTCTAATTCTCCCAAGTTGTGCAGGCCTGGTATGGATGCACCCTGGGGCTCTAGAAGCAGGTTTGAATCCTTTCTCAGCCATGGAAATAAAATGGGTGACCTGAGTAACTCATAGTGTCTTGGTGTAATAACAATACCAAACACTAAATCTTGCCAGGAAAACCCAGGATGACAGGACCACCATGTATCAGAGTCCACTTCAAGGCATGTAATGGCCATAGTTCCTTCTTTGCCAGGAGTGCAAGGGCAGCTGAAGAGCACCGAATATATCAAAAGTATCAAACTTAAATTTTAAAACAAACATTTAATTGGTGGACCTATTTTTCTTGGGACTTAAAATGTCTAGGGGACAAAAAAATAGTTTGCACTGAACTGGCTTATACTAACGGAACTTGAACTAGGACAGAATAGCAGACATTAAGTGAACAGAATCAAAATGAAGCTTCACAAAACCATCCACTTAGGGGGAAAAATGTTCCGGTTTTCAAAAGAAAGGGGCAACTTTGAACTTTTTTTTTACCTGATTCAGTACAAGGAGTTGTGTAAGAATAATCTCAGAAAATGAAACAACCTAAATACTTGGGAAGAATTTAGGAATGCACAATAATATTGGGAGAAATACAGCTTTTCTCTCCTTTTCACAGCTCAGATTAACTGGCTAATAAAGGCTGAACAGAATTGCCGTGATTAAAATAAGCAAAAAAGAAAATAAAATAAAATTGAGCAAGCTAAAATCCAAATCCTTAGCAGTAATGAAGTTGCCAAATTGCTTTCTTCTCCCTCTCAGTATTTTAAATTATTCCTTAAAGAGAAACGAATGTCTGGTATGGGCTCTACTTCTGAAACTTTGTTGGTGCCAGCTGACAGTAGTCCAGGGCATTCTGGGGCTTCTCTTGGGGCTAGGGAATTGTGAGCGAGACTCAATGGCTGCCTAAGTTGGCTCTCCAGAGTTGGTCCTTAAAATAAGCCAGTCAGTTGGAGTACACTTAAGCCCCTCAGAGAGTGGCTGCAGTGGCTTTAACGCCTTTTATACAGTCAGACAGATGGTTGAAGGCGGATAGCCAGAATAAGCAAGGGAAACTCCATCTTGGCATTGGCTCTCAAATGGACCACCCCAATGCAAATTCCCAGAAACGGAGTGAAGGTGGCGTTGGAATTGCAACCAAAAAGATGTCTTTTGAAATGCCCAAGCAGGGGAGGAATAAACACATCAGTTTTCATGCCTTGGCCAGCTTGGTAGGTGGACTTCAGAAGCCCCACAAGCTGATGTTACTGTGAATTATATCCAGTTAAAAACATGCCAATGTAATATTTTTCTAACCTGGCCGAAGACTGTAATGCAAAGAAAGTATCTAGAAACCATTACCTATGCTAAGGAAGTTTTGCAGCAATACCATATTAGTAATTTTACCTTAAGTGTAGTGAAACCTCCTTAATAATGTTCAGATATGAAGTCTGGCATGAGATCATACTGGAATATTAAAAATACTAAGTAAATACATTTGCAAAAGAGGCTCAGAATTTGCAAGCCTGAGTGGGAGAAGCAGCTGTGAATTTGGCTGCAGAAAATTACATAGCATGGTGGGGGAGTGAAAAGGCCTTCTGGAAAGCTGCTTGCATCTATGCCTCTATGGGCTCATTGCCAGAATGGGGAAAACAACTTCAAAACTGCTTCACAGATTTGAGATCAGAAAATATCACCTATCCCTTTTTAGAAAGGATGTGCGTGTTCCAGACAAATTCGAGTAAGACGTCCATATCTACAGGGCACACAATCCAAGACCTCACATGGATACATTAAACTAGATGTTAATGAACCTGATTATTTTCAGTGAGATCAACGATGGTGTTACCAAGGAGAGAGAGTGTAGCTTGTACAGGAGGCCGTAAGTGAATACATGAAATAGCATATATTAGTTCTGTGGCTATGGGAGTCACATTGCCGTTGTCTAATGCACATTAACAGCCAGTTTGCATACACAGGATGAGATTTTACTTCATCCACAACTTCCGTCTCTCCATCCCACCACAGCAGTGATAAAATCCTGTGGGGAGACTTGCTCTTGCATATTGGTAGGGCAGAGGCAATTCAGACAAAAAAAATTGCTGGGCCGTGTGCGTGTGTGAGAGAGAGAGAAAGAAAGAAACAAAGGTGTACTTACAGAAGGAATGCATCTTTGTTAATACCTTATATAGTGGAGCAGGGGTCCTCAAACTAAGGCCCAGGGGCCAGATATGGCCCTCCAAATTCATTTACCCAGCCCTCAGTCATGGTCAGCCTAAGTCTGAAACAACAACCACAACAATCCTATCCCATCAGCCAAAAGCAGGCCCACACTTCCCATTGAAATACTAATATGTTTATATTTGTTAAAATTGTTCTTCATTTTAATTATTTATTGTTTTAAAGTGTTTTTTTAATCATTCATGTTTTCTTTTTCAAATTATAATCCGGCCCTCCTACAGTTTGAGGGACTGTGACATGGCCCTCTGCTTAAAAAGTCTGAGGACCCCTGCAGTAGAGTCTCGCTTATCTGACATAAATGGGCTACCAGAACGTTAGATAAGTGAAAATCTTGGATAATACAGAGGAATTAAGGAAAAGCCTATTAAAACCAAGAAAAGCAGTGTATTGTTGAAGGCTTTCATGGCTGGAATCACTAAGTTCTTGTGGGATTTTTCGAGCTATATGGCCATGTTCTAGAGGCATTTCTCCTGACGTTTCGCCTGCATCTATGGCAAGCATGAGGTAGACTTGCCATATGCAGGCGAAACGTCAGGAGAAATGCCTCTAGAGCATGGCCATATAGCCCGAAAAATCCCACAACAAGAAAAGCAGTGTTTGCCTCCAATCTTCAGTGCCCTCTCTCTCTCTTTCTTTCCCTCCCTCCCACTTCCATAAAGCAAATATTTCCGCTGCTGGAGAAAGAGAGGGGGAGAGAGAAAGAGCTCTGGGGCTGCAAGAAGGAGGTAAGGCGAGGATGGGCACCAAGGCCAAGTGCAAGGCCGGTGGAGTAGCCAGGGCAGTGAGCAGCCTTGTTGGGGCTCCCCCTTTACCCATGCGGAGGCTGTTTCCCAAAGCCCCACCTGGGCTGAATGTTAGGCCCCAGGGAGGAGAAAGACAGCAAGGAGGGAAGCGGAGTCTGAAGGAAGATAGGAATGAAGGGAAGCCTTGTTGCAATACTCTGAGGATGGTAAAGAGCCTTGTTATTTTTCTTCCAAGCCAGAAGCAGCCAAGGTGCGTTGGATAATACGGAATGTCAGATAAGCGAAAGTTGGATAATTGAGACCAACCTATAAAACATGAATCAGCTTATCCACTTTTTTTTGTCATGTCAGGAGCAACTTGAGAAACTGCAAGTCGCTTCTGGTGTGAGAGAATTGGCCGTCTGCAAGGATGTTGCCCAGGGGACATCAGGTGTTTTGATGTTTTATCATCCTTGTGGGAGGTTTTTCTCATGTCCCCGCATGAGGAGCTGGAGCTGATAGAGGGAGCTCATCCACGCTCTCTCCGGATTTGAACCTGCGACCTGTCGGTCTTCAGTCTTGCCAGCACAGGGGTTCACTGTGGCATCGGGGGCTCCTAGCATATCTACTGGTCAATGTGAATATACTGGTCAATGGGAATATAGTGCCTTAAGTCTTATAAAAAAGGAACCATCTCTTTCTCTCAGTGGAGTGACAAAAGGCAAGAACTTACTCTGTCCCGGGAGAATCTAAAAGAAGATCCTGTTTCTACTTTTTTTACTGAGGTGCCGCATCTGGCCTTTCTGAATATTTGGGCAGGAAAATGGCAGCAGTGGCAGACAGGGAGCATTAGTGCTTTCTCTTTCCACAAAATGACCCATGATTTATCCATAGGGCATATCAAAATCCAGTAATTTGTCCCCCAAATCTGCCCTTGACTTGTACACGAGGTTGACTTTTACATGAATATATATACACAATAGTCTGCATTATCATCTTCATCCCTCTCTCTATACTGGAAAGAAGCAGTGGGCTCAGCCAGTATTTGCCAGATGTCAAGGAGGGATAGCGAACAGAACACTAAGGGCTGGGGGTAAAGCTCCCTGCACCCCATTGCAAAAGAAATGTATGCTTGTGTAAGTTTACATGCATAGATGTCAGTAACAAGATGCCACCCACTGTTAGGATAGCATCCAAAAGAAGACCAAAATCTTTCGTCATTCATTCAGTTTCCTTTCCCCGCTAGCTATCTTTTGTAACATATTCCATCCTTTAAGGTGCATGTGGGTGTAAGTGTTCATTATCCACATGCTGGGGCAGGTCTTCAATAAAAAAGCCTATAAAGTAGTAAACCCAGAAATGAGTAAACATCTATGTACATACTTTCCAGGAGGTATGTCCTTTCAGTAAATAAAAAATGATGGGTTTTCAGGGGATCTGTTTCCTCCTTTTGAGATTCTTTAACTGCAAAGTTGGGAACGTCATGACTTTATGCACATAACTATGCAAATGGAGACTGGTAAGTGTATAAAGCGGTTTGCTCTGAAGGAGAAATCAAACAAAATTCATTTCTGAAATGCAAAAGCCTTCCCTTGGCATCGCTGAAAGGAGGTCTGTGGTTCAGGAAAGGTCTCTGGCCCACGCTGCCCCAGGAAAGCACATTTGCTGACTAATGCCACTTTAGCAAAATATGAGATCGGCTTCCTTTTGAAAAAGGGGGGGAAATCTGAAGAAATACAAAGAGGTAGTTGATCCCTGATCGTGTTGGCAGTTACTTCAAAAAGAATTGCAAACAATCACTTGGTTGTGACGGGGCTTAGAATCTCCAAAATGTCTTGCCAGAAGCAAGCGGTTCTACTGGACTGGAAAGAATTCACCAATAAATTGCTCAACTTTTTGAAAGGCTCTCTCAAGGCAAAGAAAGAAGAAAATGATTCCAATAAACCCTAAGGGCACCTCAGATTTATTAGCATTTAAGATACAAAAGGAAAATACTTCAATACAATTACAATTTGTGCATCTTGAATTGCGTGAAGCAAACGTACTTTGTGACTATAAGCACATCCTACTCTGTGTGTGACTTGAAAAATAGCAGTCAGTGATCCGTGGCATTCTGTTCGGGACATATGCACATGTAAATTGCTATACACAAGTGGATGTACTTTTTGAGCGCTTTGGAAGTTGGTATTCCCTCCCTCTTTCCCCAGTGCCCAAAGCCCCCAACCTTACTCAAACATCTCTGAAGCCTCCCTGCACGACCATTTTGTGCTTCGTGGTGAGCCGGCAGAATCAAAGACGCATCTGGCTATGGCCCTTTATCCAGATGCAAAACTCTGATGCAAGTCTCCAAGGGTCTCAGTAACACTGTGATCATTTTGCAGGTGGCTATGATGGCATAGCCAGATCCTTCTTCAATCCTTCCTGCTCACCAGAAACCATGAAATGGCTGGCAGGGTGTCATTAAAGGTTTTTCAGTAAATCTGGAGGAGAAGTTATGTGGCGTAGGATAATGCAGGTCCACATGCAGATATTTACAATACACTTAGGCAATGCTGGATTGCAGCCATTATATGCAATCATTAATAACATTTACAACCTTGTTTATAATTGATTTAACATTTCCCACAAATATTGAACACAGATCTCTTTCAAATTTGGAGGAAGAAAATGATCATGAAAAAAGACTTACTGCTGTCTCTCTTTCTTCTATTCATGAGTCTGATGACTGGGCCAAATTAAACATTACTGTAAAAATGTACGTCCACTTTTTAGTCTCTGGATAAGATCATTTGCCAGCTTGATAGTTCTCTGATATTTCACTCCATCCTGGCTCACTCTATTTGAAACACAGGTAAGAAGGCCAATAACTTCCAGGATTTCACTGCTTCCAACCGCAAACTGAAAAGGGAGAAGAAAATAAATACAGAACATCTGCTCCCCAAAACTCTTCTGCAGGCCTTTGGTTCTTCCCAGATCCTCACAAAAGCCTCCAGTAGGAAAAATTAGAGCAGCAATGCTCTTGAACATGTCTCCAAGAGTTGGAAGTGTTCAGGTGAAGCAGCTGAGCAGTAAACATCCTTTCCATCCCCACAATCCATGACATCACCACCACCCTGAAAATCATGAGTAGAGACAGACTTCTAGACAGCACATTTCCATAATGTTCATGTTTTGTGGCAGTGTGGCCTGCCAAAGGCCTGTAGAGGCAAAAAATAGCCTTGGTAGGAGAGCCTAGGTGGCATCAGCAGCTGGTTGTTAGGCTAGCACCCTAAAGAGCAGGGTTTGTATCCCGCTCAGTCTGTGGCCACTGGACAGCCCATGCCAATTTTTTAGCCGCCCCGAATCCCTCCGGGGAGAGAGGACGGGTTAGAAATAAATTATTATTATTATTATTATTATTACCTGTCATAGTTGTTTATCCATGTTTTATGTTGAAGACAATTGATTTGTTGCTGTGCAATAGTAGAAGCCGGCTTTTATATATAATTCCTGTTGACCAAAACCCTGCTAACTAAGGACTGGTACTCAATTCTGACAAGAATTTGTTCCCTCTTGTTTAGAAGGGAATATCCTTTCCAAAAGCTAGTCTTCCTCAGCCTAGTATCCTCCAGATATCTTGGGAAAGCAGACTCCATCATCCGCAGACTGCAAACTTATTAATACTTTAGAGAATCAGGCATGCCTGGAGGATGTCAAGCTGAGGACAGCTGATCTAATCTCTATAAGTAGAAGGCACTTGTTGGCATTTTTTGATGAAAACAAGACGTCTCATCTCTCTACCATTTTACATTTTAAAGGACTGAGCAAAAGTAGTTTTGAAGTAGACACTACTAAAATTAAAACCCAGCGAACACTTAGGGCAACGAAACAGTATTTTAACATGTTGGCTTTTGTCAAGACCTCTATTAACCATGCAGTATTGTTGAAAATTTCTGATCTACCATATATTCCGGCATATAAGACAACTGGGTGTATAAGATGACCCCCAACTTTTCCAGTTAAAATATAGAGTTTGGGATATACTCGCCGTATAAGACTACCTCTCTTCCAACACACACCAAATAAAAATTTAAAAAGCATCAAATTTGATTTCAATATGGTAATTTTCCTATTACTGTACCTCCTTCTCTGCCTCTAAGATCTTGCACATGTGCAACTTCATTGCAGTCTTCAGGAGCAAGATCTGAGAGGCAGAGGAGGAGGTATGGTAATAGGATACAAGGGTGGGCCAGGCAGGTAAAAGAGGTGTGTTTTTCTGGGCCCAAAGCAACTCTATCTCTTTTTTTCCATACCCCGGGTGCCCCGGACGCGTGCAGCTTGCTCCGCCCTTCACTTACACCTTCCTGGTGAGGCGCCCCTTCACCTCATCATTGGGACTGCATTAAGTCCACAAATCCTGATGAATGGATTTTCTTCTACCATACTTGTACAGCGTCACCCTTAATGCTTTCATACAGTCACTGCATATGGCAGGGACGCAGCCACTGCCATTTTTGAGCTCCCCCCACAATATGCAGCAACCACAGATTCTCCAATCCGGATTCGAAGTTTCAGCACCCGCTCTATAAGACGACTCCTGGAGCATAAGACTAGCCCCGCATATAAGACAACTCCCATGCATAAGGCTACTCCAGCATATAAGACAATTCCCGTGTATAAGACCACTCCCGCATATAAGACGACCTCTGACTTTTGAGAAGATGTTTTTGGGTTAAAAAATAGTCTTATATGCCAGAATATACTGTATGTACGTAGTTATCCAATTTTGTTCTACTCCCCTCTATAGGGAGATCCTTATTCTCTTCTGAGTTTAGGAGTTTTTGATAATCATATTCGGCTTTTCCATGGGCATTCTTATAAGTCTTAATTGGATGACTTTTATTTTTATTTCAACTGAAAGAAGGATAGCACTGATAAAAATCTCACCTAAGTATATTTTTTCTCATGTCCAAGAAAGAAGTGTTGAGTTTTCCAATAAGAGCTTTTTAGCCATAGAAGAGACATCCTGGACTGTCTTTGGCTAGGATTTGCTAAATTGGTACAGGAAAGAATTTATGTATTGGTTTTCCATAGTTGACTGTTCTATCTGCTCAAAGTTTTCAGTACCACCACTGTTTTAGAGATCTTAATCTCTTAGAGGATAGGTTTTGTGGTTGTGTGCCCTGAATTCATTTCTGACTTATGGTGACCTTAAGACCAACCAATCACAGGGTTTTCTTGCCCGGATTTGTTCAGAGAGGGTTTATTTTTGCCTTCCTTTGAGGCTGAGAGACTGACTTGCTTCTGTCAGCCAGTGAGTTTCTGTGGCCGACGGAGGTTCAAAACTTGGGACTTCAGAGTTGTAACCCTATGCCCAAACCACTACATAAGGTTGGTTTGTAAATTTCTTCATCAGCTTTGCGAGCCCCCAAAACTCAGATTATTCTTCATCCAAGGTCAGATTCTAGAAGCTTCTCAAGGTCCTCCCTCTTTAGGCTAGAGAGAAAGCACCCATCTAGGAAAGTATTTGTATGAATAACTTCCTGTTCGGAATATTCCAATTTGCTCTACATGGGGTTCTGTTGAGCACATTTTAGCTAAACAGCATTGGTTAATGGCTCTTGGGCTCAATCCAGTGTCTAATACTGCCTTTTAAAAGCTGAGTTGTGAATTTCTTGGCCTTAACCATCTTCCTGCCCTTAACCACCTTCTTTTCATAGTTCAAGCTTTTCTAATTCATCACCACTTGCACAAATAATTATTTTGCTTTGAGGATACACCATCAGCATGTTGCCTGGAATAAGCCACAGAACTCCTGGCAGTACTTTCTATGGGGAGAAAATGCCACTTGAAGGACCAAGGAAAAATTTCATCCCATAAAATCCTGTTGTCTGGACTATCTTTGGTGCCAGCAATTGAACACCTTTTTCAAAGACACTGTTCTCTTATTAATCTTGCAACAGACCGGAAAAAGGGGGACTCTCAGTGTACTGGGTGTAGGGGAAAAGCTAAGGAACAGCACTGAAAAAAACAGGTCAGAAGGGAAAAGATTATGAAGTGTTAAAATGTACATGGCATAGAGTAAACATAATATAAGACTATGATGAAAGCAGGAGAAAAGAACAACATTCCCAGAAGTCTCTTTCCGTTTATGACTGTCACCTAAATTGTGGTGTTAAAGAAACCTGTTACAACAAGGATGGTGATGCAACACCATTTCTAGTTTCATTTTCAGCCAGTGTTGGTATTTTTTTAAGTGTTGTGTTGTGTTGATCTTTGGGATGTCCGGAATCCAAACTACCATATTCTGCACCAGTTTTGAGATCTTTTTGGCCAAGACTATTACCAAAAGTCTACTTTAAAAAAACTGACATGACTCTGAGCATTGAAGGCTTCATTTTTCCATTCCTTCCACACAGAGTTATTAACTGTCCCTTGTAAATAAAGAAATAAGAACTCAGATCTGCAGAGGCTCAAAGGCATAGAGAGAATGCAGGATAAACCTTGGGAGTACGAGGAGACTACTTCTCAACTGCCGCCAGTCTTGCCTGCAAGCCTGCAATAAGGGACCAGCCCAAAGAATAATGAATACCCTCCTGCTTGTTGGCGAGATCTACAAGTACAAACCTCTCTCCAAAGGGAGGGAGAACAAAAGCATTCCTACATGCTGTAGAAAAGATGCCTAAAGAGCATTCAAAAATACTTTTCTGGGTTCCTCCTGCACCTTCATCAACCCTGTAACATCTGCAGTCACTTTTTGATGATCCCTCTTTCACTGTACAACACTGAGACCTCAATGTGCACACTCACATCTAATCCACACACTGAAGATTCCTATTCATAGACTGTACTGTGAAAAGTATGAATTCCATAGGACTTGCAATACACGTCTTTTATCCTAGCTGTGAATGAAAAAAACCACATTTACTTGAATTTAATGCTTACCTTTTTGACTAAACTATATAACCAAAAGTGACGTGTGCATTAGATTCAATGATGCATTAGGTTCATGCATGTAAATGCCCCCCACTCCCACCTCCAAATAAAATAGGCTGAGGCTGACAATTTCACCAGCCTCGTCCTGATGGAGGGCCACAGATTTCCAATTGGCCTCATTCAACCTCCCCCTTGGTTTTGCAGGCCACGTGAACAAGGCTTTGGGGGGAAACTGCTGCCCATCTGTCAGGGCAAGGCTGGTGAACCTGGAGAGGCATGGCTTCCCCTTGCATGTCGGCTGTTGTGAGGAGGCAGCAGAATGACCATCAGGCAAGGGGAAACCACACATTACATTTGACAACTTTTTTTTTTTGCAACACGCCTTTAAAATAGAGAGGCACATTACATAGATGACACATTATACTCAAGTAAATACGGTACTTACACCATCAATGAATTCTCTGGCTATCGTGTGTCCACCAGGGGTAAAGAGCAGAAAGCTGACAATCAGATGCCTGACCAGGTGTTTGGTACCAGGACGTCTTGCATCTGTTTGGCTACTAACTACAGCCTGCAGTTCTGGGACTGAAATGGTTGAAGCTCTTGAGAGGGTTGTCAGGTGATCGCAAGCAGACTTTGCTTCTCTCTGTTGAGAATGATGGGGAAACATTAAAGTCTGTATAAAGAATAAAGCTCACCTCTGTTGTGGAAGGGTACACCAAGGTCCAATTAATTGTGAGATAGAGATGGATTTATGAGCCAAAAAAGAAAGACAGAAGCAGAAAAGAATGAAGACCTAAAACAACAGCCAAAACCCTTAGTCTTGTAAAATGAAGTACTGGGGCCATGGGCCATGGTTTGACCTTTATTTGTATACAAAGAAACAGTGGAAGTCACAGTGCAAAATGAAGGCTACATTGTAGGTTAAAAACGGAAGGCTGGGATCTCCCTATAATACTTTAGCTGCAAATCAATTAATCCCCATGCAATCCAACCTTGTCTGATAAACAAAATCCAATTGGGGGGGGGGGGGGGGTTTCCTTCTAGTATTGTTTGCAAAACATCCCCCTTCTCTTTCACCACTTGGAGCAGCCAGAACAAATAGCTTCTGGAGCCAAAATATAAGCAGGATTTGGAAGTCTGTGTATTAAAGGAAATTATTGCCCAGATCATAAGCAGTTATTACCTAAAAATATTTGCTACATAAAAGCCGCTGCAGGAAATGGGAGGAAAAGAAGTAATACACACATATCCTTCCTGCCTGCATTAAGTCTGGTTTTAAGCAACTGATTTCCTCATCGTGACTTTCCCCCCTATTAACATTTATAAAGATGCATCCTGGTTTAAAGATAGGTATGAGAACATGTCTTGTTTTTTTGTTTAATAGACCCATGGCATTTTATTTTCCACACTTTCCATCTCCAAAAAAATGAATCGTGCAACTGTAGGAGCTTTTATGCTAAGATAAAGGTTTCACAGGCATAGAGACCCTAATGTTGAGGAACACACTTATCCCTCATAATGGTGCCTGGATCTGGCCCATCCACTCCTGCTCCAGAGATATTCACCTGTTACTGCCAGGCATAGCAAAACCAAGAGGCGAGGGAAGACTCGGATCAGAAGGTAGCTAATATTGCCCCTCACCCAACCCCATAATCAGATAAATGACTATAAAAACAGCAGCAGCATCATGTGCTTTCTCCTTTTCCATTCATGATATTTCCACTCTTTTTAATTTTAAAATTTCCAAGCTGTTCAGTATTTATTTATTTATTTAGAGCATTTGTAGCTCGTCCTTCTCAACCACCGAAAGGGGACTCAGGATGACTTAAAATCAGCAGTCATTAGATACCGACAAAGAAACTGAGAGCACAACAATTCACATAAACAGGTCAACAGCAATAAAAAATATATTTAAAAAGCAATAAAATACATTAAAAATATTGGCCCTTAAAATATCAACACAACCAAGTTTGAGTCCGCAAATCCAAATCATAGTCCAGAGTTCCAGTCAAAGGTCTCTTAACTGACAATTCTCACGAGTAATTACACTTGTTGCTCAGCCAGCTGCCCGAATGCTTAGTCCCAAAGCCAAGACTTGAGTTTCTTTCTGAAGGAGAGGAGAGAAGGAGTCGCCTTGATTTCACTGGGAAGTGCATTCCACAGACCGGGGGGGGCAGAGGGGCACCACCGAGAAGGCCCTGTCTCTCGTCCCCGCCAATTGTGCTTGCAAGGGGGCAGGATCAAGAGCAGGGCCTCCCCCGACAATTGTAAACTCCGAGGTGGGTGATAGAGGGAGAAACGTTTGGACAAGTAAACTGATGCCTAGATTCTACCAGGGCCTTAAAGGGCCTGAGTCAGTATCAACAACACTGGTTTTAAAAGAATGTAAATATAACCAGAAAAAGAAAGGAAGGAAGTTATCTAATGCATGAAGATTATATAAAAATATATTAGATACAGATACATTATTAAGATTTGTTTTAAAAGTAAACAGATTTCTAGTATAACAACTGTTTCAAGGGCCGAGGTAATACAGTGACAATATGACTTCTATATTGCATTACTAAACAAAGATATTGCATATTAATAACCATATTGAGGTTGTAGACTGGAGTATTTTTTTGCTGTTGTTCTGAGTGCCCACATTTAGTTTTACAAGACCAAGTGTAACTCCAGCCAGAGAGAGCACACTTTGGATAGCATTTGCAATTAGTGGCCCATTGTCCTGCTTCCATATATAAGCCAGGGTCACACTCACTAACCTCACACTCACTAACCTACACACTCACTAACCTACACTCTCCCAACTGCATACAGACAACAACATAAAACACACACCAAGAAAAGGTCATTAGCAACCTCCAGATGGAACAAACACAAAATCTTCCTGTCTCATGCACAAGCTGTGGCATGTTCAGCTTTTTCATGCAACAATTACTCAATTACATTTGCCCCAAGTGTAAACAGATCACTCACATGGAACACAGGATCCGACAACTCGAGGACCGTATTAAGACCCTTAAGGGCATTCAGGAACTCGAGCCGTTCTTAGACACCACACAGCATGCTGTCCTAGACACGCAGCCCATATCACATCAACATTATGGGGAGGCTCAAGAGGAGATCACCTCAGATGTGGACAACCCTCAGGCTTGGAGGAATGTCACCCTTAGAAAGAGACATAGGACCCGGAAGCCTCCTCAGAATACTTCTGCTCAGCTGCAGTTACACAATAGATTCCAAATTCTCACACAGCTATCACTTGACCAAGAAACACAACACATTGAGGAAGACCAGAATGGCTTAGATACTGATCAGTGGCTCGTCCTTGATCAGTGTGTGGGGGATAGCCCTGATTGGGACAACACTTCACAACATTCACACTTACACAATCATGCAGGTGTACCATCCCCAACCATAGACCAGGTGCAACAGGAACACATACAGGAGAACGCTAGGCTCTTGGACGAATCTCAATGGATTGTCCTTGATGAATGCACTGGGGATGTCGAGGAGGAGGACAACACTTTACACCTACACAATTCACACCAACAGGATCACTTTTCTGGGGACCTACACACTACATTGTGCAAAAGGGGCCCTGCCAATCCTGAAAGTAAGCAGGTCTTGGTAGTAGGCGACTCCCTCCTTAGAGGAACGGAAGCCGTCATTTCCAGACCGGATGGGATGGCTCGAGAAATATGCTGCCTACCGGGGGCAAAAGTATCACTCAGAGGCTCACCAGGCTCCTCAAACCCCATCACCGTCCTCCCCTCATGTTGATTCATGTAGGAACCAATGATACTGCTAGGCATACTTTTCAAAAGATCACAAATGATTTTCGAGCTCTAGGAACAAAGCTAAAGCAATGTAATGTACAGGTGGTCTTTTCATCCCTCCTCCCAGTCATAAAACACGGTCCTACAAGGGCCAGAAAAATAGTACAGGTCAATAACTGGCTTAGAAAATGGTGTCAGGAGGAACGCTTTGGCTTCCTTGACCATGACCTGCTTTTCCAGGAGGATGGGGTGCATCTCACACAAGTAGGTAAACACCTTTTTGCTCACAGACTCGCAAACCTCATTAGGCACACTTTAAACTAGGCCCACTGGGGGAGGGGGACAACAGCCTTGCGAACACTACTTTACCCACAATGTCAGGGAACCGCCAGAAGGCTAAACGGAGGGCTGCACAAACACAAAAAGGACCAAGTACCGAAAGCACAATAATCCCAATTAAACAGCTCAGGGGAAGATCTCAGGGGCTCACATGTCTTTACACTAATGCACAGAGCATGGGAAATAAACATGACGAACTCCAACTTTTAGCACAACACCACAAATATGATATCATAGGCATCACTGAAACCTGGTGGGATGACTCCTATCGCTGGAATGTAGACATCGAGGGCTATAAACTCTTTCACAGAAACCGAACAAAGGGGAGAGGAGGCGGAGTAGCCTTATATGTCAAAAACTCTTATGCTGCAGAAGAAATGCATGACAGCAATCCGGGAAACCAGCTTGAAAGCATCTGGATAAGAATAAAGGGAACTGGGACTCAAAAAGATCTTGTTGTAGGAGTCTACTACAGACCTCCAAGCCAGGAGGAAGAACTTGATGAAGTCTTCTGCCAACAGTTGACCAAACAGGCACAGAGAAGAGATGTAGTAGTCATGGGCGATTTCAACTATCCCGATATTTGCTGGAAAACAAACTCGGCCAAGAGTACAAAGTCCAACAAATTCCTCGCTTGCCTTGCACACAATTTCATGGTCCAGAAGGTAGAAGAGGCAACAAGGGGATTGGCTACTCTTGATCTCATCCTAACAAATGTGGAGGACCTGATCGATGCGGTTGAAGTGGTAGGATCCTTAGGGGCAAGTGACCATGTGCTCCTGCAATTTGAGGTACAAAGAAAGGCCGAAACTAAGACAAGTCAAACCCGCATTTTGGACTTTAGGAGAGCTGATTTCCAAAAAATGAAGGAAACACTGAGCAGCATTCCGTGGACACAGATACTAAAAGACAAGGGAGTTACGGATGGATGGGAGTTTCTCAAGAGTGAAATACTCAAGGCGCAGTTGCAAACCGTGCCAACAAAGAAAAAATAGGACAAGTGCAAAGAAGCCAGAATGGATGTCCAAAGAACTTCTAACTGTGCTGAGACACAAAAGAGACATGCACAAGAACTGGAAAAAGGGAGAAATCACCAAAGAAGAATTCAAACAAATAGCCAACACCTGTAGGGAAAAGGTCCGCAAGGCTAAAGCACAAAACGAGCTCAGGCTTGCCAGGGACATTAAAAACAATAAAAAGGGATTCTTTTCTTATGTCAGTAGAAAAAGGAAAAACAAGGAGGCGATAGGGCCTCTTCGAGGAGAAGATGGGGCAATGCTGACAGGGGATAGGGAAAAGGCAGAACTACTTAATGCCTTCTTTGCCTCGGTCTCCTCACAAAAAGAAAGTCATCTTCAACCTCAGCAAGATGGAGTGGATGAGGGATTAGAGGACATCCAACCCCAAATTGGGAAACAAGTCGTCCAGGAATACCTGGCCGCTCTAAATGAGTTCAAGTCCCCAGGGCCAGATCAACTACACCCAAGACTATTGAAGGAACTAGCGGAAGTCATTTCGGAACCAT